TTTTATAAAATATCATTTTTCTTTTTTTTTTTTTTGTTTTTCCCTTTGCACATTTTTTTTTTTTTTTTTTTGAACTTATGGTCTTATTTTACACTGGGCGGTAGCTACTTTTAATTACATGCACCATTCAGGCGTTTTTTGCACAATGTGCGTACTCGTGCAAAAAGGTGTGTACATGTAAAACGAGATGGCTGTTTCCATTTTTGTCTGCCAATTTATGCTTTATTTTCCATAAACTGTTTGCTTTTTCTGAAAATGAGAGGTATGGACGGATTGCGCTTATAAGCAGCGCTTCTAATTATTTTGAAAACATTGGAAAATGCACTTCCTACGTAGTGTTCCCAATTTTAAGGGGTACCTTTTTTGTTAAAGGAGTAGAGCGGTTATAAAACGTCTGCACACAAAGCAACTTTGTATCGCTAGAACGTGCACCCGTTTCGGTTTCTACAAAATGTTATTTCCTGGCCATGTTGCGGCAATTCCGCCTAGCTATTTTTGCATGCTGAAAAAGCTGCGTTAATCGTGCAGGAAGGCGAGATCGTCTCAGACAAGCACAGCGCGCAAGGCGCAAAAGCGAATACATGAACTCCACGTGAGCACCCAAAGGTCGAACATATGCGCGCAAGGTTCTTCACGCGGAATGTACCTTTAGAGATCATTAAAAAATGGCGATCTGGGGCATTCACTTTAAGCGCTCCAATCGGTTAGGAATAAAAAAAAAAAATTAAAATAAAGTGAGACCTCACACAGTATCTCCATAGGAGTACGAACGTTCCACGTTTTTCAAACATATTATGAAGGGGTCTTTAAAAAAGATATGGCTAGACGCACTTCACACCAAATGTGTACACAATTGTGGTGTGCACACGAAACGCTAAACAGCCGCTAGGAGAACCATTTGCACCCTTCCAACGTTCTTTTATAAAATATCATTTTTCTTTTTTTTTTTTTTGCACCCTTTGGTGCATCCTTCTGTGTCGAACATGTCGTGGAGCCATTTCTCTAAAGTATTTTCTTCATCGTTCCATTGCTCTCCATAGAAAGACAAAATGTTATAAGCTCGACGCAGCCGTGTAATGCACATGGCTGTTTTCCCATTATTTGAAATTTCCCGTTGCGACATTTAATGCAAGCATTTTTTTGGTGAGGCGCGAGGAAGGAGAATATATGCGGGGGTATACATCAAGTAAAAAAATAAAAAAAAAAATAAAATAAGTTCATTTTGTGACGTAAGTGTAGGTGTAGAGGAGGACATGTTAGGAGAATTACCGATCCATGTCATGGAGGCGTTTGTGATTCGTATGTTTACACGAATGCTATTTTAATGTTCCTTATTATGCTTCATTAATTTTTGGAATATGTTCCTATTTTATTTTTTTCCATTGAGAAATGATTCTCCAATTCTTCGCCCCTTCTTTTTTTTTTTCCTTTTTTTTTTTTTGTAACCCTTTCTGCTTTCATTTTGTTAAATAGAATGTTTACATTTGTACACTCTGTTTTGGTGAGAAATCATCAAAGGTAGGGAAGCCACCTTGGCACATTTCCACCCAGACGAGTCATATGTGATGTTAGGGTGTATACTCGAGGACGAATCCTCTGTGGAAGGGACACGAAGGGAACCAGGGCGGATTGCTATTTTTGCGTCTGAGGCCCATCACTTTGGTGGTTTGCTTGGAGTTACCCATGTCTGGTATCCCCTCGCTTTTATATTTACGTGCATAAACGTAATGTTTTACATAGGTGCGAACACAGAGGCATATTTACACACATAAGTGCATACGTGTTCGCACGTATCGTTTACCCCTACAACCGCACATAGGGCGTTCTCCCTCCACGCAGAGCACATGTCTGCAATGTCAGAAGAGCACATTCACCCCTTGGGGTTTACTTAAAAAAAAAATTCCACTTCTTTAACCCACGCAGACGTGTCATCTTTATATTATTAAATGTGTAATAATAAAAAAGGGACAAGTTAGGAACTGCCAAAAAATGGGTTCTATGTTCTGTGTTATTTTTACGTGTGTATAGAAATGCATGAATTTAATTATTTATTTTTTTTTTTTAAATAAGTTATGATTTCTATTTCCCCTTATTGTAGTATACACAAAAAAAAAAAAAAAAAAAAAGGGGGCGGGAACAAAATTAACATACGTGAGCATACAATCCATGTAGAAGTCTTTTTGCAGATGCGCTATCTCGTAAGGCAGACGTTGGGTGTGAGTTCCTTTTCATTTCCAAGTCCACATATTAAAAGATTTACTTTGCATTTTTTTGTTACGTTTTTTTTTCTTCGAATTGTTCGGCCAGCGGAATTTCTCATTCTTTATGAGGCTTTTTCGATAGCCAATTTTTTTTCTCCCTTTTTTTTTTTTTTTTATTGTATCTTTTTTCCTTTTTTGCGGCGAAGTTTTCAGGACAGATACATGTTCGCTGTGTACACATGTGGGGGTCCCTTTTTTAGGAAGTGAAATATATCCTGCTATATTTTTTATTTCACTTTTCCAAATTTTTACTCATACGGTGCATCTCCGTTTGTGTGTGCAGACACTGATGGTAGTGCTTTCTCCCCACAGGGTTTGCCTACGAACACAGCACATATACCTGGTGGTTGTTGTTTGTGCATGCAATTTTGTAACTTAAAAAAAGAACACACACACACACAATACATGCATGCATACATGCGTACATACGTGCATATATATATAGTAATAAATCTGTTCAAACGGGGCGGCGCCAATTTTGTGCAGGCAAGAGTATCTACTTGGATGTGGCGGGAGAGTATGTTACATGCAGAAAGCGACCAGCCTCTTTGGGGCCGTTTAAAAAATAATATGTAAATATATATATATGTACATGTATGTATTTGTTCCCCTCCCTGTTGCGAGAAAAGGCACGAACGGGACGAGTCACACGTAAAAGGGAACCTTACCCTTTACATGCGTGCGCATGTGTGCCTGGGGACGTTGATACTGGGTGCACGCGTCCAGTCGCACGCTTCGCGCATTTTGTGACTTACCAGGGAGAAGAAGGTAGAGCTACCAAGGAGGACAAGCGGGGTGAAAAAGACAAGTGCTCACATTGGCCCCTCCGTTCTCATTTTCTCTACCCTCGTGCAAGCCAGCTTTGTTTGAAAAAATGTCCTCAAATGGCTTGAGCAACGGGTGCAGTAAAAACGGTCAAACGAATTTCTGCGTGGATGTCCTGAGTAGTAAATGTTCGCCCCCAAATGGCAAACGTGACGAGGGACACAACTGCAACTTTGAGAATGGGCACAGAACACATGGAGTAGACAGCTTATGCAATAACATCACACCGGGGGGGTCCCGCAACGGAGAAATAATTACACAGAATGGTGAACACAAATTGAGCAATCATAAGAATGAGCTTATTCACCCTCAAATTTCACAGGAAAATAATTTTATTAATATGAAGGAGGAACATGCAGGGCAAAATGCAAAGTTAAATTGGGGGTACCCGTTCAAATGGAACAAAAAGTGGAATGATCCATGTGCAGAAAAAGGAAAGGCAGAAAAATCAGGCGGCGTCTTTTCAAAAATGGCAAATGAATACAATTCAAATGAAATTAAAATGACAACCAATAATGGCGATGTTTCGCTATGTAACACAGATCGGTCAAATACCACTGTTGATAAAATTTGCCTGAACAGGTCAGGTGAAATGGAAAAAAGAAATAAAAACAAATCGAACGTATCGAATGTTTTAAACAATAATGACAACAAATGGAGCAACGTAGTGAATGGAATAGAATGCAGAAGTTTGCTTCCACATGGTGTAGAGGGCAGCCATCCCGATGAAGCTACAATATCGCTATGCGTGAAAAAAAAATCCCCACTCAGCGCTAACAAACATAGCGGGAAAATAACCCCCACTGGAAGCGGCGAAAATGCTGTGTCCATCGAAACATCTCACAAGAAAGAACTTTCTCAAGGAGCAAGACAAAAGAACGTACAAGAAAAAGCTATTCCATTTTTCACATCCCCCGTTCTAAAGCCTGAGTGGAAAAGCGACAAGTGCACAGACCATCTAAATGGCCACTCCTCCGTTGTCAATCACACACATAATGACGGACAGCACCCATTCTACATGGCCAAAGGCAAAAATTACGCCTTGAAGAAAAGGCATGAAAATATATTGCTGAGCGACAAGGAGGAGGTAATATATGTGAATAATCGAAATGGGGGTGGACTGTGGGGAGAGAAGAAAACGGGTGGGGTGTTTCAGGATGAGGAGGGGAAAATGGTAAGCAATACAGAAGGGATAAGCATAAGGAGAAACCAAGGGAGTACAGAACGAAGCAGTGCAGGCAATGACGCAAACGATGTGGTGAGCACTACGCCAAATGTTGTATCAAGCGATGGTCTCTGCAACGTGGACAGTGCAAACATTAATCTCTTTCCTCCAAATGACCTGAACGATTTGATGAGCACAGGCGCGAGGGGGAAAAACAACCCACACACAAACAGCCCTGGCGTTTACACCAACGGAAACCTGACACATAACGAAAGAGGCTACTCACATGGCAGCCATAAGACACACGAACATTTTATGAACCATGTAAGAATAAGCCGTCACGATAAGCCCATTGTGTACGACATGAAGGAAGAACAAACATTTGGTGATTCGAATGACAAGAAGGAATGTCTCCCCATATATGATGTGAACCCATTTAATGCACTAAAGCATGTTGCCACAGGGGCCCCTGGATTGGGCAGAAACCACGTAGGACAAAATGGCTTCCTCCCACGCAGCGATGTTGTAGAGACGACGAAGAAGGATAGGACAAGAAAAGACAATACCGCTGAATGTTTATCTAGTGTGCATACCAGGTGGGGCACCTGTGAGGGAACCTTTAAAATGAATGAGGACGACGAAATTGTGAATGTGACAGAAAGCAAAAAAGACGAGATGAAAAGGGATTCACATGACTGCATTACTTCCCTTTTGCACACCCAAAGTGGAAGCGTAGAAAATGGGTGCATATTAAACCATTCGTTTGGAAAGGAAAATTGCGACCACGTGAACCTCCTGAATGGAGCCAAACGAGATGGGTGTGTATCTTATATGGAAGGAATGAATAATTTGTATGATGGGAGCGAGACACATATTTGGGGAGGCATAAGTTTGTCACGGTACCCGCATGAAGGGAACGAAGACCCTCTGCTTGCTTCGAAAAAGGATAGCAGCTTTAACAAAATGAATGGAACTGCCCATCGGGGGGAAGACAAGGCCATGTGTCACTCCGTGTCTGAAGGAGCATCTGATACAAACGAAAAGTCAACTCAGAAAAGTTGCGCTTCCCCCTCTCATCATAAAGGCCCCCCTCTACACACAAAGAGAGAGCAACTTCAAAATTGTGAAGTCAGCAAGGAGAAAACACCTGCGGAAAATAAGTCCATTTTTAATTACCACTCAGAATGGATAAACCATTTAGAGAAAGGAAGGGAAAAAATGAGCGACGGGGAAAGGTACAACCTGGGCAACGTTTACAAAGACAGCGCACTGAAGAATAAGAATGCATGGTTCGAGAATAACCTACATAGTAATGCCCCACTTTTTCACCCCCACGAAAAAATGCACTCATCAGAAGTTACACCTAAAGTGGGAACAACAGGGAAGTTGCTCCACCTGGGGAAGGAAGGAAACGCACACATACACTCTGACACAAGAGAGTCTAAAGAAGTCATCACAAATGGGGTCATTACAGAAAAAAAAAAAAAAAATTTTTTTGAATACACCCAAATGATGCATCCTTTGCGGGGGGAACAGACGAAAGAGCAGAGCTATGCACATCCCCATGTGAGTTTAATAGATGATACTTTAAGTAGCAAACGAGTGTCTCCCAAATGGCAAGGAACAAAGACGAGAGGAACAAACAGCAGGTGTGATCAAATCGGTGCAGAAGAAGTGACCAACGAGGAAAATGAAAAAATTCCCCAGGACAACTCTCCTTTTTGTGCTAATGGAAATGGGCCACATTATCAGAGCACTGTTGATGCAAAGGAAGAGTCTACTTATGGAAACGTCTCAACATGGGAAGAGGACAACCGAAACGAAATAGAATATTTGTCCAAGTGGATTCCTGAGGCAAATAACCTCAAAGGGGGGCTTAATTTTGTACATACCTACTCTATCCCCGGGAGTGAGCAAAGCTTGAAAAGAAAGAGCGAAGAAGTTTTAAATCGAAAAATGGCTAACCAGCTAGCCAATGGGGTGCACCCAAATGGTCATAATGAAAACTTTGTTCTGGAAAGCTATTGTTATGGGGCACATACACATAGGAGTGAATATTCTAATATCACTCCTTTCGGCAGTGCTCTTTTCGGGGTGACCCCTTCCATTTGCAGTAGAGGCAATGACCAGGTGAAGACTTGCAGCCTCATCACCGTAGAAGGAGAAAATTTGAGCAGTCTTGCCAATGAAAGAATCTCAGAAGATGTGAGGAAGGTGTGCGAGGTCTCGTACAACCAGGACGGACGACATAATGAAACGGTGAACAGCAACGACAGTCCTAATGTACTCGCAGGAAATAATCCTCCGAACGCTGCATCCCCCATAGGGAGTAACGAACAGGGAAGAGATGTTCGCAGTGGTGCAAATGTAAACTACCTGCACAGTTCAGACGAAAAAGGAGATGATGTTCCCAAATTGGAAATTAAGCATGGACGCAATTTGTGCGGTGATGCGAATGACATAGCTGGTGCGGTTGACGCGGTTGATGAGGCTGATGAAGAGGTGTCCAGATTGGTGGAAGACCTCCCCTTCGGAAGAGACAAAAAGGAGGTCGCTGAAGAGCGCGAGGATGCAAGTAAAGACACGGGTATCAATATTGATGCTGACTCAGTCGTGCAGAGATGTGCATACAGACGCGACAATGACGCCTTACAGGGGGAGGAAGACCTCCTCGGAGGAATGACAAAAAAACAGGGCGGTGCCAGCGTCGACCCGCACAACGACTACAGGTGGAAGTTGTGTTATGTAAGATACCCTGAACACGTAAATTTCAAAAAGGCCTTTTTCTTTACCTTCCAAAATGACATATACATTTATGGGGCACGCAAAAATAACTTCGTCATTCCGGATGTGCTATTTCGGATCCGTGAGAATGAAGTGGAATCTGTTGACACTAGAGGGACCGCTCCCAAGTTGTATGTCAAGGTTTACTTTGCGGTCGAGGAGGGGGACATGAGTGGCGGTTCTAACAGGAGTTGTCATGGCTTGGGGGGGATTCGAGAATCGCGCAAGAGTTTCTACATATGGGGGGCCAACGAAAAGAGGCAACTGGACCTGTACACTGTGTACAGACTAGACTTGTGCCGCCTCGAGTGGCAGGAGATAAAAATCACTTATAACAGAAATCTGAACACGTTCAGGGAAGATTTTTCGCTCATCTTGATTAAGGATTGCTTGTACATGTATGGAGGCGTTGTGTTGAAGGATGGGCAGTGGGTATGCTGTGATGAATTATGGGTGTGTGACACGGGTAGGAGGAAGTGGGAGATGATAAGGGTGGGGGGAGGAGACACGCATAAGCGCGACGCTACTACTCAGCAAGGAAACTTATTTTTCAGCCTTCCCGCAACCAACTCGGTTAAACTTTTTACCAATACAGACAAATCA